CCATCACGTGGAAAACGAAGTTTTATAATAATGGAATTAAGAAAAATAACCTGAAAAACGGCGCTAACTCAGTAACCCATGGCCCAATTTTAACGAAACTTGTTTTATTCTGTTTCTATTCTCATTTCATTACAAATATGATAGTATTGTGCACCGTCTTTGCTGTATTTAATTACAGACAAGCACACACACACACACAAACAATCTCAGGTTTTAGTAGTATATAGATTATAATTGACATTGATGTCTGTTACATACTTAACTTTTCTGGCTAATAATGTGAAAATTACAATATTCCTTTTGGAAACAGATTTCTTTGAATTAAGTAACTTGTATCATTATCAGGTTCTTACCAATTCTTAATGTAAACAAGTTACCATACCAACCTGAGATAATGAACACCACATGCTTGTTCCACCATTAACCACCTGTTCATTCAGTACAAGAAAGAGATGTGAGGGAGAAAGCCGTAAGGCCACAATTTTCGCTACTTTGGCAACAGTTGCAACAACCTCTGTAAGAATTTTTTTTTTAAATATGAAAAACTTCTTAATTATGAAACAGTTATTCCATGTAATTTCATAGTATTATAGTCAAAGTTTTAATGAGATACCTTTCTTTGTATACATTTAGAAAAATTGTTAAAAATTAATTAACACAGATACAACCATGAGCCTTCGGATATTTTATAAAATAATAGAGCTAAATGTACTGAGCCAGTCCACCCTAATTTGTTTTTAATCAAAATTTTAGCCAACAAATATTTAAGCCATATCTGTCTATTCATAGTCACATTATATATATATATATCTGGTATATGGCAGACATCAGGCAAGTTAATCTATATTTTGGTTTTGTATGCAAAGCAAAATGGCACTAATAACCTAAGTTGCATGATTTAAGAATATGAGCAGTACAGTAATTAGCTATAAAGAAATATTTAAGTGGCTTTTACATGGACTTAGTTACACACTCTCTATAAATTATCGACCGAGACTGTGAAAGGTTGGAAGTGTTTTAATGACAGTGCAATGAAATTATTCAACTTTTGGCAAAGATATTCATAGCTAATTGTAAATAGGCACAATCAGTACTTTTTGATTTTCTTTTTGACACATAAGCCTCACAACTAACATTGGCAAAGTGGCAAATAGAAAACCATGATCAATGTCGTACTGAAATGCCAAAAATTCCCGCATTTATGCGCTCAAGCCCCAAATCTTTTAATCACCTAGTGATGCCTTTGTATACAGGAGCATTGAGAGCCAGCATGGGGCACCAGGACAAACATCCTTGCTGGACCCCCTTTCTCTCTCTTTTTTTAACATAACATTTTAAAGAATTTATTAAAAAGAAGATCCTAAATTAGGACAGTAACGAGCTCATAAACCAGACAAAATCATAGCAGCAGCCATTGTTATCTCACAGTATAAGCATAAAAATGTTAATAAAGTAACAACAAACATCCATTAAATCAATAAAGTGGCAAATATATATTAATTATTACTCAAATTATTATTTCAATCATTCTTAATGTATCAAGCTTCTATATACATAAAAACCCCAAAACTATGCTTTTTAATGATTAAATGAAGATATAACCTAAAGGTGCTTTGCAAGCTTTACAGCACAACCAGGTTTCATTTGCCTGGGCCCCTGGCCAGTTGTCCCTTTACCCCCTTTGTCATCAGGCCTGCATACATATGTGTGTGTGTGTGTGTGTGTGTATATATATTTACACACACATTTATATATATACATGCTGTAGGCATTATGAGTTTCAATCTTCTTTTTTTGTGCAGATATTTCGATGTATGAAAAGCATTTTGTTTTGCTGCAAATGAATCTGGCACCACAAAGAGCATAATTCTTGCTTTGTAATACTGTTAAAATACAAGTTACATAATGAAAAAGGACTCAAAACAATTGATTTGTCCAGGGATCTCTTTAAATTCTCAAAGAACTCTCCAAGGTTGTCCCTACACATCCCTCCTTGAGAAAATGTAAAAAGTTAAACCCACATTTTATTCTTCAGTGCTAGCTTCCAATACTACCATAAGTCACTCACGCTTTTAGATAAATAAAACTGTCTTAACTGGATCCTTGTCTACCTTTTACAAATCTTAAACAGAATATACCATAGAGAAATCAGTATCAATCTACTAGATAATCTTGTAAACTTCAATAAGATCTCCTCCTCTTGCCTTTCTTTCCTCAAAAAAATAAAATAAATTAAAAGATCTTATCCCATCCCTGCAAGATAACCCTTCCATCCCTAGTAGCCCTTCTAAGAATCCCTTTTTTTTTAATATAAGACCAAAACTATAAACACTGCTCCAAGTGAGCCCTAATTAGTATTTGTATATAGAGGTTGTTACCTCTTTTAACTTGTAATTAACATATCTATAAATTACAACCTAAAATTCTATTAGCTTTACTACTACTATCAAGAGCACTTCCTCTATCAAGGTAATCCATCTGGGTTATCATAATTTAGTTGTTGACTGAAGAAAAGGATCTTGGCATATTGGCAGATAAAAAAAAAGTCTACTTACTGTAATTACAGGTCATTTACCAAATACTTGTACAACTTATCAAGTCATTCTATAATACCTTAACATCCACATATAGCTAGAAATAACCAAGAGTTTAACATTATTATTGTTGTCATAAGCAAACTTTACAAATTATGCCCCTATTACTATTATTAATGTAAATTAGAAAAGGTAAATGCCCAAGTATTGACCCCTAAGATACTTCACTAGTAAAAATGATCCAGTTTGACTGGATTCCATTTATAACAACTTTCTGCTTTCTGTCATCTAACCATTCTACAATCTAATTTACTAGTACTTCCTCAACCCCATCTTATGAGAAAAGTTTTGAAAACCTAATTGTACCGTGTACTTTCCATCATCCAGACAAAAAATAACACCTCTGAAAAGTGAACAAATCAATATGTATTAAATTTTACCAGAAAGAAACCTACCTTACTATATATATTTTATGATATAATATTTCATTAGATAATTTTGCATGCTTCTTTTTTTAAGATTATCTTGTACCTTTCTCAGGTAAATAAGAGTTCAATGACTTAAAAGCATTAGACATTAAAGAGGCAAAATTATGTTTTAATTAAATTATGAAAAACACAAAGTTTAGGATACAAGGAAGTGACAAAATGCTTAATAAGTTAATCAAAACACATATAATCAAATGCAAAGCTTATTTATAAATTGTATGAAATCACTTGCTTAAAATCTGATAGCAAAATAATGAAATACCTAAATCAGGAGAAGAGAATGCATAATGGAAAATCTTTCATTTTTTCAAAGTCATCACTTGAAAAGCTAATACTTCTATCACCACTATAACTAGACATAAATTAACTTTCATACATTACATTAATCTTCATGAATATCCACTTACAATCTGCATCCCTATTCCAAACGTGGAAGTTACACTGTATATTAGGAACTTTAAAAATTCTACATTTAAAAAAATCTTGAAGTCAATAGTAAATTTGTAAAAAGTGAATTTTATATCATTTGAAATGAAATTCTATGTCAATTAGAAAAAAAGTTATAGCATTTTTAACAATTACATGAAACCTATTTTAGCCCATATAAAAGAATAGTTCAATAAGACACATAATTATCCTCATATTGTCATCATTTCATGGAATTTTTTGATGAAACAAACTGCAAATTAAACCAGGAAAGACTAGCTTTCATAATGTAAAACTTATTAATCTTTTTCATTTTTAAAGATTTCAGATACATGGTGACCACCATGTTGTTGTTTACATTCAAAAACAGCATATATACATAGCTGCACACAGCTGATTACAACAGCTTCATAGGCATTTAAAACTTGGAATTAACAAAGATTCCAATTAGATTTTCTATAAATGTTTATAGCATAATTTCATACACTAACATAAATCTATTTCATCACTGTTTGAAAACAAAAATATACCTGGGTGAACAACTCTTAAAATTATACCACGCATGCTTATTTCTTGTACCAGTGAGTCTGCCATATTTTCCTCATTAATGGGGAGAAGTATGTATGTAAACATTTGTATGGTGTAAGTATAATGAATAAGTGCAACTGGCTCTAGGACTACTATTTATAAGAAGTGTCAGAACATGATGGACAGAAAGCTCAATGACACCAACCCCCTGCTCCTAACTGATCGTGTTGTCCTTAACTATATATGTATATACGTACATATACAAATGTTTTCTCCAATATAGTTTTCTTTTGTTTTTTTATAATTACACTTATATTATATGATTTCTTTTTTGTCAGTACTTACAATACATCTTAGTAAGAATCTTACATAAAATGTGGGAGCTATTGGAAGTTACAATAATAATTTTAAACACACTCACAACTCTTAATCATTTTTCATTCTCTACATTCAATTTAAGACAGTAAAATTTAATCTAATTTAACATAATTTTAAATAACAGAACACATCATGACAGAGCAAATTCACAATAAAATCCACTTCAAAATTTTTATATAAAACTATAACTGGGATAGTATCATAAAGCTCATGCTAAGTTTCATTAAACATTTTATATCAAAAAATTTTTACTTGTGATCAAAAGATAAAGAAAATACATTTAGGCAACTCACTTGTAAATTGTTGGATGCAGATTATCTCAACCATCTTTCCTCGGAACTTCATCTTAGATGGAGCTGAAAGTACAACTAATACAAACTCCTTAAGGAAGGGGAAGAAGAAAAAAAATTTTTTATTTTTGTGCTAAATCTAATTTTGAAGATTTTAATGGTTTGCACAGTACCAAAATAAATTACTCACTAATATTGCCAGTTCTTTTAAATTATTTATTATACAAGAATCTCTAACACACCTTACAGGTGTACACTAAAATGCAAACTGCTTCTTACAAAATTATTTAAAGAGCAATTGTATATGGTATCATTAGTATCAATAATTCTTCTGTACAACAGGGCAAATGTCTTTATATTATAAATGTAATATGTATATAAATAATGGAGGTTAAGAGTCTAGCTTCAGTCTAAAAATATTAAGCTTACATTCTGTTATTCTTACATACCAAAAGACTCAAATATCAAGTTGCAATTGTGAAGTAATCAAGTATATATGGTAGTAAGAATAAAGAAAACGTTTATGCTCCAGAAGAACAAGTTAAAACTTGTAATCTAACACTCAAATGGTCAACCTTTAGCTACCTTTTTATTTGGTTTGGATATGCAACTTTTAAAAACGCAAGGACATGTCTTGCTGAAAAGTTAAATATTCAAACAATATTTACACAGATTAATGATTAACAATACATCTGTATACAATATGTTAGTAACTAGTCACAGTCTGTGCAAAAATATTATTTTTCAACCATTTGAATTTGAAAATATGGAAAATTCATATAATAATACTAATATAACGTTTAAAAAGGGCCCAAACTATCTTACAAGTTATATCATAAAGTTATTTGAATTTTCATTGGTAGTGGTAGCGAAGTTGTACTCTATAATCTATTACTAGCCTATACTAATACTAGTAATATACAATTATAATTGACATAGCTTAGACTATGTGTATATGACCGATAATAAGGTTAAGCCTTAAGGTAAGTGGCTGATTCACGTAAAATCAGTTTGCCTTTGCTTTGAGCCTATAGGTCTTGCTGCATTTCAAAATCAGAATTCAATTAAAGTTAGTACTCTAATTTTAAAACTAGTAATTAAGTGAAGGTCTAAGTCAAAGATTATATTTATACTTTTATAGAACTTAAGACGATACATACAAAACAGAAAAGAGGGAAAACAAACTTTTATGTACTTGTTGGTCACAAGAAATATTTTCTGAAACATTAACAGTTCTTCCTAAATTCATGAATACGTAAACACCGAAGTTTCCAACTCACATTTTCTAATTTTTTGTAGTATTAGTATCATTGCAATGGCTTTCCGAAATATTAGTTACTTGTTCTTGAGCTCAGCACTACAGATGGCGTATACTATTTAAATACGAATTTCCCGCCATATTTATTTTTGGTCAATTTTAAGACACAGTGGTCAAACAAATGCTTCCTTTCTCAATAAACACCTGTCCATTTTAAGGAAGTATAATAGGTCCGATATATATATTGTGTATTTCTAATCTTCCACAAATGCAAACATTAAATGTTTATATTGCGAAAATAAATGTCTTGAATATTTATTTGAGTTTTTATATTGTTCAATAATTTCCTTGGGATAGATAAGTTTTTAAATTTTTACAGTTTATTTTTATATTTCATTTTGTATATGTATTGCTTATCAAGATTTGTTAGCAAATTATTTGACAACGCAATCGGAATATTTTGAAATGTTATTATAAACCAGGAAATGCAATCGTCTGCAACAGTGTATGAATGAACAATATTTAAAGTCGCTGTAACTAGTCGATTTAATTTTTTTCTCCTTTTTGTTATATACAGGTACATCACAGATTTTTCTGCACCCTTGGTTCCAGAGCCTTGTCGGATTATCCGTTTTGCCGGACCAACATAGATCACGTAATAATAATTCAACAATACACCTCTGACCCACTAATTATACTTTGCTTCTTTATATCGTAAACATTTGACGAACCAGTACCATATGTATCACATAGTTTCCGCACGGAAACACCTCGGTCGAGTTGTTTCAACAGTTCTACCTTGTCTTGTATCGGTATGGACTTGTGCTTACGCTTGACACCACGACCGTCACTTGGAACTTGCTTAGAAGCCATAGCCAGGGTCAAATGTAAGCAAAATAAGCTAAGAATCGCACAAAACCGAGGAATCACCACCACCAACTGCAGATGTAAACAATTAACTCTTTCGGGACGGAGACACATGATGTCATCTTTAAATTTTCTCTGTTGACATAAATAAAACATTTAGTTAAACAACTTTCTTTAAATATTTTTCAGAAAATTGTTATTTTCAAATACGTTATATTTTGAATTTTCATACACTATTATCAACATTCTATGTTGTAAAAAATTGAAGAAAAAAATGAAAACTAAATATTTGTATCTTGTTAAACTACGATACCCTTCGAGCAGCTTTGCGCGAAAATCCAACAAATCAAATAACAATGGTAATCGATAAATCCGAAGTGAAAACAGTTTTTTAATCGTAAGAAAAATCTAAAAATCAGTCAACCTACTAATGGGTTGACTCTTGAAATTATACAGTTGTAAAGCTCTAACGCAGCTTCTGGCAATCTACGTAATAAATTTTATAGTTAACTGTTAATTACACTTATAAGAAAAAAAGTAAAGGTAGTATATTGAGTTTTAGGCGATACAGTACACCACCGATTTTCCGGCAACTGATGGTTCGGTACCACCTTTAATCCGAACAAAATTACGAGAGCACACTTGAAATTCCCGCGACCGACAGGATAATTCAATGGGCGGGCCACAGATGGCATTGCGTGTGGCGCGCGCTCTTTCGAGACGTGCTACTTACATTTTAAGTAGGTACGTTACTCTCGTGGAAATTTTCTTATAAATATTAAACTAGTTGATCAAATTGCTTGAATTTTTTCATGAAAATTTCCAAGAATACTGTGTTATCGGTCCCTAATTTTGAATTAATAGACTAGAGGGAAAGCAGCTAGTCAACACCATCTACTGTCATCTCTTGAACTACTCTTTGTCAACAAATAGTGAGATTTACTATAACATTATAACGTTCCCACTTCTTAAAGAGCAGCATGTTGGGGAATGGGTTTAGATCTCGCGACCCGTAGACTGCGAGTCGAGCGCGCTAAATACCAGGTCTATATACTGTAAATATACATATATCGATTGAATGAGCGCTGATGTTGTTTCTAGAAATTTAATACGGATATCTTAAACTTCCTTACAAGAGTAAGAAACGATAACAACAACACTGAGCAAGGAATAAGAAATATACAAAGATAAAATCTATAACTATTCGTCAAGTGTATATTAATTGCTGTTAACACTGCCTGTGACACTTACATCGGACGAAAGAAGTTTATCCCGCTTGAAATTGGTAAAAACTATTTAGCAAGAATATCTAAATGGCCTGACGGAGACGCCTTGGTTGAATCTGAAATTTTCCGAATACTCGACTATTCAGATATCATACAAGATTTTGCTGCAATTAAAACACGATAAGCTACTCTGTTCGGTACGTTATTTAAAACGATTCTGAATACGCAAATCACAAATTCGGGTGACACCTATAGCTGATACAGAGTTGCGGTGGAATGTGTGTATCAAAAATACAGTTTGTCATTGTTTGGCTTTGCGTACGTAGTGTGATATAACCGAAAATTGATAGCTTTTGGTAAGGGTATTTAACAGCCATTTCCGACACAAAATATTCATAAAGATCATAAATATGTCTTCAGATCGGAGTTCAGAATTTCTAAGATGGAAATATCCCTTGTACTCAATGGCAATAAAAAAAACAAAGGAATATGGATCAAGTAGGGTCTATTCAGATAGACCTAAAAACCATCCACGTGCCCCGGACAACGGTGTGATATATCCAAGTAAATTTTAGAGTAATAGGATAAGTCCACTTAATAATAGGAAACTCAGTCAAGATAGCAAATCTGAAGTTATGCTCAATCTCTGAATAATGAGTCATGAGAATGAACGAAATAAAAACATTATTCACAAAGTGAAACAAGAAATGAGCAATCTATATTATAATTGATGTAAAATACAAACACAATGTATGTATTAGGCTTTTACTTACACAGGTCATTTGCTTTTGCTGAATACTCTATTCAATGTTTAAGCTAAATTCATCTACCAAACTGACTAAACCAGCATTCTTTAGTTTGCAAGAAATGTGGAATTTACCAGAAAAGATTGCACTACCTATATGACTGGTCATTCTCATTCAAATATAGGTGAGATGTAACCTCAAGATAATATCTGAACTACCATTCAAAGACATTGCTCTCACAATCCTTGCACAATGTGCAGTATTACATCAATATCTCCCCCAAGAACAAAACTAGTTAACAACAAAAGAAGCTAGAATGAAATTAATGTAACAGCTTTCTCTGCCATGGTTATACAAAACCTTGTACATGCAGAATAAATATTATAGTATTACAAGAACATAGAAACAAATTATATATTTATATACGACAACAGAAGTATCTCTTTCAAAAAATGAGGTCAACACACTACAGGTTCACAAAGTTAAGATTTCCAGTAATAATTCCTTTTTCAACTGTTCCATACCACAAGCAGTTGGAGAATGAAACAGGTATTCATGCTTTTCTATACTGGTAAAGTTGCTGGATGTAGTACTTATAGCTTTCTATGTGAGTGGACTGTTGAAACAGGTGCTGAGAAATCATCGTTCTCATACACTAGATGGAATAAGGAAAGTGAAAAAGGAGGAGGAGTGATATTCTGGTAATAGTCTGATGCAGAGCCTTTTGTGATGGAAATAACACTACGGGTATACTGTCAAGATGCAATATTGTCAGATAAAACATGACCAGATATGGCAACATGGAAGGTATTGGCATCATGAGGCTTCAAAATTGTTTTAATGTAATTACTTAACCCTCTATAATTATTTGGTATAATTTATTAGTTATTATTGCTTATCATTTTTCAACTATTTTTATATTACTTATTGTGAATGAGTATTTTTATCACTATATGTGTGCATATTTGATAGCAAATTAATAAGCAGGCAGTATTTAGTATGGTTGTATGTCCTTTATACATAGTTTTACAATATAATGTAAAATGATCTAAGTAAAATTTTAAATTGAAAGGTAGTATAGATAATATTTTCGTAGTACAAGAATAATATTTTAAACTTAGCTAGATTTTTTTCTCTTAAAAATAAAATGTAAGTTTAATATACTGCTCCTAAACCAGGGTTATAAAGCTTGTTCCGACTTACTATTTTAATATTTTGTCAAACAGCTGGTACAATGGTAATAATTTTCCAAGAAAACATGGACTTGTTGTTTTTTTATTGCACACTTAAAAACTTTTTAATTTAATAAGTAAAAAAATGCAATTACAACAAACATTGATTATAAAAACATATTTCATGCGTTTTACACCGGTAATCATCAGATTGGTTTTACACTTTTTTTTAGATATTATTGCTAAATTTCATACTGAGATTCAAATAATCATCAACTTTACAAAAAACCGTTCAGAATCAAGGATGCACTCTGATGGTTAAAATATTTGTTTGATGTTTGAATAAAAACATATGAACTACTTTGTTTTTTCATTCATGAAAAGTATAGTCATAGGTTTTAATCATTTTTCTTTAACAGTTCTGTAGTGCAACATTTTTGTTTTATTTTTCACATCAATTTTCACCCACTTTTAAGATCATCAATGTGTGGGAATAATTATGTAAGTGTAATCTTAACCCTGCGTTAGTGTTCCATAAAAAATTTCTACAGTCACTCTTCCGGGGTCCGAACGGACCTTATCATAAAAAATTAATTTAAACATATTTAAAAAAATTAACTATTTTTGGAAACAAAAAACACTAACATTCAAAATCTTATCCTTTATTATTCATTAAATGAACATTGAATATAACTTCTTTTTTTACCACCTAAAAGTGTAACAATTTAACAGAAACTGGCCAAATACTGAAGCTACTGAGAACAAACATGTATGTGCTTCTATCTGTCGGCGCCGATGTTTAAAAAATGTATGGGGTCCGTGATGACCCCTGAAGAATAACGCAGGGTTAAGTTAATTTAAAGGAACTACAACCAGATAGTGATATCAATGGCACCTGATTTAGCATTCCTAACCTAAATTACTATTTGGTACCAAATAAATATTTATAGTAAAATGTTTTAAATGCATTGTCATTTTTTTAATTTGAGGCATTAACCGTAAAGCCAATGAAAAAATGCTAATTCATACCAATTTATATTTTAATTAGAGAAAGA